GTGTGTGTGTGTGTGTGTGTATGTGTATGTGTGTGTGTGTGTGTGTGTGTGTGTCATTTGACCCAGTTTGTGGTCCGTTACATCACTCCAGTGATGTGTCTGTCTGTGCATTTGTGTTTCTGATGTGTTCCCTATATTTGGCCAAAGTGTGACATTGGAAACGCCCTCCTTACGGTTTCTAGTGGCCATGTGCCCATCTCTCCGCACTATATGTCGGCTATAAAAGAGCCGCTGCACCTTACACACGACGCGGTTCATATCCAGACACATTACATACAGACAAACTCAAACTCAATCATCAAAATGCCTTCAAGCACAAGAATTATGGCGCCTCAAATCAAGAAGACAGGTAAAGCATTACTATCATAATTAAGAACTAACCCAGAAATAAATCTCAGAAAGTTTCTTCTGTAGTCAAATGAGGTTGTAATGTACAGGATCTATTTTATACAAACATTTTAAATGTATTGATTTTTTGTTTTTGTGTTATTGTTACATTATTTAGCTGTAAATGTATAGGCATCGTAGAGAAAAAACAAATGTAGCCTACTAAAAAACTAAGCTCCGTACAGTAACACTAACTGTATTAGTACAGATAGTAAATAATTAATATTTAAAATATTAAATATAAAATATTACCAAAGCAACTCAATTCAGTCTGAAACCGGGATATTATAATTCACTAAAACTTAAACCATTTAAAAAAACTATTTTATTTCAGTTAGTTGCCAACATTTCTAATTTTCATGAAGTTTAAGTACTAAAACAACTATAAACTAACACTAAAAACTAAAACTTAATCAAATGAAAATAGAAAATAGGAAAGTGAAATCTTATCGAAAATACTAAAAACTACAAAGCTGTAAATAAAACAAAGATTGCTGGAGTGTAAGTGTTAAGAGAAAATACTACTTCAGTCTTTCTAGTTTCACGCTTCAAAATGTCATGTTCAATTTAATGCAATTATCACGTTTAATTTCTTTGTCATTATTTGTGAAATACTAGCAATTTCTACAAAAAATATAATAGTATAATAGTTTATGCATAAAATGTATAAGAGTATCAGTGACTCTAAAATAACTCTGGTTCACAATAAATCTAAGTAACAAGGAACAGTTTCAAAGGCATGCATTATGTCACACTAGGGCTGTGCAACATATCGAAATGATCGAAATATCGCAAATGTACATATCGCAATATGCATATCGCTACAGCTTGCAATATTTGGGGCCATGAATAAAAGACAAAGAGAAAATCACTCACTGCTCTTACCTAAATAACATTTGTAGCTTAAATAAGAATCAGTGCATATTGAATTCAAAGAGTAAATACTAAGCAGTGTTTTATTTTTCCTTTTTATTATTCAGTTCCTAAACTCATGTTAAAATAATTACACTAATGTTAAAATGACATTTTTATGTAATGCTTGAGTAAAACACTACCGTTCACTTTCAGAAGTTGTTGTAGGGGTGCTTTCTTATTAGAATCAGAATCAGAATGAGCTTTATTCACCACTTAAGTGTGCGCAAACACAAGGAATTCGTTGTGGTATAACCATATATATATGACACAAGATAGTTATAGAAGTTATAGAAGATACTGACTCGGCAACAGCTGAGTAAAACTGTTTCATCTGAGCATGTGGCACTTTAACCATTATCGTATCGCATATCGAATATCGCATTATTTAATGAGTTATCGCACATCGCATTTTTCTTCAATATCGCACAGCCCTAATAGATGCATAGATGGATGTATAGATAGATGGATGGATGGATGTATAGATGGATGGATGGATAGATAGATAGATAGATAAGTCAATCCTACAATAACGTTTTGGTCTAAAACACTGTAACAATTCAACACTGCACTAAGAATGGCACTTCAGTCAAACATTTAACAACACACTTAGTGTTTTGGGGTATTTTTGACTGCATTGACCAAAACTGGCAAAGATACAGACAAACAACAGACCGAACACATCACACACACATGACATGGAGCTCAGCTCAGGTTCGTGATAGTCTCTGGTTGAGTCTGGCTTCACTGAATGAAGGGCATTCGCTCTTTCTTGTCATTGTCTCCCTCTTGCTCCTCTTCCTCCTCACCTGCTTCACTGGTCTCTGTGCTGTCATTGGCCATCTGAAAGAGAAATCAAAAATCATTGTGTTTTCACACGGACCGACAGTCTCCTGTTTCTCAGAATTATTCGAGGTGCAGGTAATCTCTTAAACGTGCGTCTCCTCTTGCATTTCAGAGAAGATCTCAACAATTGCGCACAGATTGCTGTAATCAGATGTCAAAGATCTCAGTTTGAACTCAAACGTAGAATACTTCTCAAATGGTATACATATATTATAATTATAAGATATATAGTATATTACAAACATAAAGTGAGGGGGAGAGAGAGAGAGAAACATAGCTGACAAATACAACAGCTATATTTACTCACTCTCATGCAGTTTCAAACCTGTATGACTTCTTATATATATATATATATATATATAAACAAACACAAATTTTATTTCAGCTAGTTGCCAAGGAAACATTTCTCATTTTCTTTTAGTAAATAAGAATTTTATGTACTAAAATAACCAAAATTAAACTTAAATAAAATTAATAAAAAGATAGACATAAAAAATAATAACAATAAAAATGACAAAAATACATTGCAAAATTACTAAAACTTTTTAAAAAAAGAGAAAAATATAAAACTAAAAACTAATACAAACTATTGATAAAAACTATAATAGAATCTCAATTATGCTAAAATAACACTGATGTTGTTTAGACTTCAATGTTTTTTCACAATATCTTCTTTAGCGTTCCACAGAAGGAAGTAAATGATGAGTAAATTATGACAGAATGTTCATTTTTAGTAGGGCTGTGCAATATATCGAAATATCGCAAATGTACATATCGCAATATGCATATCGCTACAGCTTGCAATATTGGGGCCATGAAGAAAAGTCAAAGAGAAAATCACTCACTGCTCTTACCTAAATAACTTTTGTAGCTTAAATAAGAATCAGTGCATATTGAATTCAAAGAGTAAATACTAAGCAGTGTTTTATTTTTCCTTTTTATTATTCAGTTCCTAAACTCATGTTAAAATGATTTCACTAATGTTAAAATTACATTTTTATGTAATGCTTGTGTAAAACACTATCGTTCACTTTCAGAAGTTGTTGTAGGGGTGCTTTCTTATTAGAATCAGAATCAGAATGAGCTTTATTCACCGCTTAGTGTGCGCAAACAAGGAATTTGTTGTGGTTTTACAGGAACTCTTGGTACATACATACATACACAGATAATGGAAATAATATAGGCCTGTATTAAACTACTGATTTCTTATTTCTTCCAGGAAGGAAAATCAAAGCCGGAAATACTCCTGCTGGTATGATGAACTGAACCTCTGTCTGCATGATAATGATAAGTATGATTAACTTTATGCCGAAATCTAAATCTAAACTGATATTTCTCATATCTTCAGAAAAACTTCCAATTTATGAGCCGAACATCCCAGAGCCGACGTCCCGAGAGGAGCTGCTCAAATGTGAGTCACACTCACAGACAATCAAACTGTAGTTAAATCAGTAAACTTACCTGTTCCTTTCCTCTTAGACTGGCTCAGTATCTCATTGGACGAACGAACTGCCAATAAAGTGCTGTGGTTGACCGAGGGCGGGGCTAAAGTGTCCCGCATGACAGATGAGGTGTGTCCTTACCTGGACAGGCCAGAGAGATTTGACCACAGCCCTCAGGTAAACACACACACACACACACACACACCTTACTTAGCAGAAAGACCTCTGTGAAAGACTCTGAATTGTTGATTGTTGTTAATAATAAAATAATTATAATTCACAGTGCATTGGTTTTTAATTAATAATTTGTCCAGCACAAGTTTTACTTACGGTAATTAACTAACAGTACTTGTTTTACTACTTATACCTATGTGATGAAGCATATTTTTTTCCATATGAATTGACATATTTGGAAATATTTTCAGATTTCAGCCATCAAAAGTAATTGAGATATAGCATATATATATATATATATATATATATATATATATAGGCTATATAATGTTTGCTTAACTTCTGAAAATCAATTGATCATTTAATAATTTAATAACTTTTAATTTAGTGAGCAACAACCATAAAAATTTACTAATGTACTAATAATGTATAATAAATGTACTAATAATGCATACAATAATAATATTAATAATAATAATAATTACTTATCAATATTATTATTACTTACAGCATAATAAAACTTTCACAAAATGAATGCATTGCAATTTTTTATTATTAACATTTATAATTTTAAACTAATAACATTTAATAACTTTTAAAATAGTGAGCGAAAACCATAAAATGTACTACTAATACTACTACTACTACTACTAATAATAATAATAATTCATTATGTGAAGGTTTTTCTTTATTGGTAAGTAAGTAATAATAATAATAATATATTATTATTATTATTACTTGCCAGTATAGAAAAACCTTCACAAAATGAATGCATTGTAAATTACTATTTTTTATTATTATTAATAACAATAATAATTTACAGTGCATTAATTTAGTGAGGGTCTTTCAGCTAAGTGAGATGATACAATGTCAACTATCATCAAAATATATAAAATGAACAAAACATATCGGGAAGCCATATGTTTTGATTTGTGGCCGATTCAGCATTTGAGAATGCATAAAAACACACATACCAGATAGTTTCTACCTTCATCTCTCTCATGCATTATTTCCAAAATAGTTTCTACCTTCATCTCTCTCATGCAATATTTCCAAAATAGTTTCTACCTTCATCTCTCTCATGCATTATTTCCAAAATAGTTTCTACCTTCATCTCTCTCATGCATTATTTCCAAAATAGTTTCTACCTTCATCTCTCTCATGCATTATTTCCAAAATAGTTTCTACCTTCATCTCTCTCATGCATTATTTCCAAAATAGTTTCTACCTTCATCTCTCTCATGCATTATTTCCAAAATAATAACGCGCATTCCTCTGTGTGTGTGTGTGTGTGTGTGTGTGTGGTCAGGTGCTGTGTAAGGAGTCTGTCTGGGCGTCGCGCTGTTATTGGGAGGTGCTGTACTCTGGCTGGGTGGTTATAGGAGCAGCATATGAGGGTGCTGGGAGGAAGGTAGGCGACGGTCCCTGTGGCCTCGGGGAGAACGAGGAGTCGTGGGGTCTGGGTTGGGCCGGATCCTGCTATGAAACCTGGCATAAAGGAACCAGCAGCAGGGTGGCAGACGTGCCTCAGTGCTGCACTATAGGGGTGTATGTGGATCAGCCCGCGGGTCTGCTCTGCTTCTACACCGTGGAGACAGAGGAAGACTCAAAGAAAAAAGAAGTCAAACTTCTTCACAGGTTTAAAAATCCCATAAAGGAAAACATTCTGCCAGGTTTCTGGGTGGGAAGACAGTCCTCTTGCTTAATACTCAAAAAAGAGGAATGAGGTAGAGGGGGAGACAAGTAATACTGTGGCTTGTATTTTATTTTACACTGTAAAACCTCATATCATCACTTTATATTTGAAATGACTGTTCATCTGTTTTTCATTATATAGTCTGCTAATGCCTATTTGTAATCATGCATTTTCAGGTTCACAAATTTGATTTTAAAAATGCATCATGCATATCATCATTCTAGAATTCTATAATTAATTTACACTCTTAAAAATAAAGGTTTTTATTGGAATCAATGGTTCCATGAGCAACCTTTAGCATCTTTTGATCCTTTCCATCCCACAAAAGGTTCTTTATAGAGGAAGAAGGTTCCTTACATTTTTAAAATGTCCTCCACACTTACAGTAGAAACAATTGTTCTTTTATTAACTGTTCACTGAAAGGTTAGAATCCAAAATTGTACTTTTATGGCATGACTGCAAAAACCACATTTGAAACCGGTATTTTTTTTAAATTTATAAACCTGTGCCATCTATGCCGTCCAGCCGACTGAACATTTTTCAGCCCCTGTTGGTTCCTTCTGAATCATTTTGCACCTTTCTTTGTCTCGAACCCAGTCATGCCGCTGCCCTGTCCAGGTTTTTCAGTTTCCACAGCACTTGTCGGCTCCTGAAATCGCTTCCTTCGCTTCCTGTGCACTCTTTTTTTTCCCTTTTCTCACCTTGATGCCAGATTCTGCGACTCTGGGATAGAAAAAATTATAAAATAAAATAAAAATATTCACAATAACACAGCAAAAAGCATATTTAGTGCATCATTCGTTTGTTATTGCTATACCAACTCTTATTAGTAATACTGTCACTCTTTTTGATCAACAAATCCTTGGTAAACACAAGCAGATAACTGTTTAGTCTGCACATAAATGCATTTACATACAAGTGCTTCGAGTCAGTATGAAATGAAAATGAAAATTTTCTTTCAGCTGCTGTTGATGGATCGTAATAGTTGAGAATAGCTACGTGAAGCTCTTGGGGTTTGAACATGGTCTCTGGAGACGGAGCTGCTCTATTCTGAGACGATCAGAATCACTAAAGCTGCCAATGCAAATCTGATTTTCAGCTCAAACTCACAGTTTCACTGTTTGATCGGTTCAGCGCTCTGAACTGGAACAGTTTCACTTCTGCTCATGAGAAATGAGTAAAAAAATGATCAGCTTGAGATGAAGGAGCTACTTGAGAAACTGCTCAAGAACACATTTTTTGCTGGTGATGCACAGTGACTTTATGACGTTAAAATGAGATGTTAGTGTAGAATGAACAAAATCAAAATAATATTTTAGTTTGATTTGATATTAGTTTACCTACTCTGTTTTCTCTGATTCTGAGCATGCTTGAGTCAAACCCGTCTGTCACAGGACAGATTACAGTCTAATAGAACAGATTTGACTCCTATCTCAGTTTTGAGCTCATGTGTAGTTCTGTGTTTGGTCTCTGTGTGTCAGTAGTGAGTGATAGTGTTTGAGCAGCTGCAGCATCAGTTCAGTCACTGTGACTCTGTCAGAGTGAAATCACTGTTAGATCCACTGCCACTGAATCTAGATGGAGTTCCTGACTGGAGGACGTTTGCATAATAAATCAGGAGTTTAGGAGCTTCTCCAGGTTTCTGTAAGTACCAGGATAGAGGCTGAAAACCCCAACCCTGGTAAACTTCAGGGCTGGTTTTACAGGACATGGTAACTGTGTCTCCTGGTTGAACAGGTTTGACTGCAGGCGTCTGAGTGACTGTCACTTCAGCTGCTGATTCTACATCAAGAAAAATGAATAAACATTCAGAATTCAGTATTTGTTTAAGGACAGTATTTCTAGCACAGATGATCAGTTAGAGTAGAGTATGTTTATTTCCTCACCTGTGAAACAGTAGCTAGTGAAGATCCAGATGAAGATGGTGATGAAGCTCATGGTTGCTGTTGGTTCAGATTCTCAGAGTTCAAACTCACAGAGCTATAAAACCTCCTGAAGCTTGTGCTGCAATGCAAATCATCTCTATGTAAATCTGTGTACGGGTTACAGCAGATGATGCACATAAAACATTACAGTGTTTGGGATCTTTTCTCATGAGTCAAAAAATGGATTCATGTGTCTGAAGCTCCAGGTTTTCTGATGATTCAAATGACAGTTGCATCAAGAAAAATGTCACTGTGAACTCCATGAGAGGGCAAAGGTCAATCCAGAGGTCACAGGTCATCAAAACATCTTTTAAAAGCTGCTTTAATGATTAAAAATGCTTAGAGAAATAAATGATCGTCTAGAAACCCAAATTTAAAATATAGAATAAAAATGTGATTAATACATAAGGGGCGCCGCTACGGTTTCTGGGCCCCCTGGACAACATATTTACTTGGGCCCCCGCTTTCCGGGGGGTGGGGGGTTTGGTCCCCCTCAGTAGAAATCGCGATCTCGTTCCCCTCGGTAGAAATAGCGTTTCCCCCTCGAGGGGGGCCCCTCCATCGTCGGGCCCATAGAATCGTCCTAACCTTCCCCACCCTTATGGCGCCCCTGTAATACATACATTTCCTGAATAATGTAATTTAAGTCTTTTATTTACTTTTTTATTTATAAATAATTCCTAGTTTTCATGCATCAATAGACATTTAGAGATGATGAGGCTGTTTTTGTGAAAGTCAATCCAATAATCCATCGCCGATAAACAGAAGAGCTGATGTTGAGTCTCATGTTAGTGTGAGTGTCATGGAGTTTGTGTTCATTTGAGTGTGATGGAGGTTTTTGTGCGACTCTTTATCACTGTGTGAACACATCATCACTGTTAATGATGTGTACACTCTGACAATAATAATGTCCAGCATCTTCAGTCTGGACTCCACTGATGGTCAGAGTGAAATCACTGTTAGATCCACTGCCACTGAATCTAGATGGAGTTCCTGACTGGCGGCGGTTTGTTGCATAAATCAGGAGTTTAGGAGCTTCTCCAGGTTTCTGTAAGTACCAGCTGAAATAGTATGTCCTAGAAAACCTGAACACATATCTGCTGGTTCTACAGTTGATTTTGACTGTTTCTTCTGGTTGAGCTGCTGTCGTTGAGGGACTCTGAGTGACGCTGATCTGTCCTCTACTCTCTGAAACACACAACAAGAAGAAAATCAACTCAAAACTTTGACAATATACTTGAAGAAATGAATTCATATCAAACTTGTGCTCCACAAACCTTGAGCAAACGCTGTGAGAGTCCAGATGAAGATGATGATGAAGGTCATGTTGATGAAGATTGTTGTGTGTGTCAGTGATGAAGTGTTAAACTCACAGCACTATAAACACTCTCAGAGCACTGAAGCATCTGATCAATATGCAAACACTCTCCACATCATTTACCTGAAGACTGCAGAAACAGTTTTACTATTTAGTATCTTTGCTAATAAATTAATTTTTTTCGATTTTCAGAAACAAACACGCATGATTTACTGCATGTTATTTAATTATTTATTCTAGGTTGAGCTTCTCTCTCCAAACACTGTTTTAATGGTGGGTTTCATTGAGGCTTGGATGCTGAGAGCATTTAATACCTGTGTTACAGATTTGATGTCATCCATGATACTGTATAACAGGTCAAAGGTCATTCAATAAGGAATGAATCTAAATCTTGCTAAAGATTCATTATAAAGCAGGTAAATATAATTAATGTAAATGCGAGGAATGTATTTTGAGACTGATTATGAAACAAATAATTTTTATCTTCATGCAATAACAAGTATTAAGAATTAAAGAAGAACATTTTGTGCTGTTTTTTATAACAATCCATGTCTGCTGTTGAGAAGAGCTGATGTTGAGTCTCATATCAGTGTGTGTGAGTGTGGTTCTCTCTTTCTCTGCTGGAGTTTGTGTTCATTTGAGTGTGACGGAGGTTTTTGTACGACACTTTCACTAGAATGAAGCACTGTGGTACACTTTTGGTGGAGGAACTAAACTGACGATCGGTAAGTCTTTCTTAAATAATTTAATACAAATATATCTATCATTTGTGTGCGTGCATTATGAATGGCAAAGTTTCATTATATTTTATTGATTGACTGCACCTTCAAAAAATGTATATATTATGAATAAGTCATATTTGGTGATATTCCATGTTTTTTTAATATTTCAAACCATAGTTCATATGTGTACTTAATATTTTACATGAGTAATTTCAAACCTAGTGTATGATAACTTTTCAATATATTTGAATTAATTTCAATATTTTAGGATTTTTAAAAAATAATTTCTTCATGTATTTCATTTTGTGCATGACACAAAAGCTGGATACTATAGACAAAATATTTAATTTCATTGGTGTCATCATCAGGAAGAAAAGAAATTCATTTGATAAACGTAAAAATAAATTACTTAAACTATTACGTTTACTTTAATTATGTTTATGAAAAAATGCCCGGAATTATGACTATTTTCAAAACACAAATATTATATAAAAATAATAAATTATAAAAACATCACAACAAAATTATCAATGTGCATTTGGAGAGATATGTTTTATAAAATCAGTTTAAACATTTTACTTAATTGAGAAAGTAACAAATTTGCATACATTTTACAGTATATCATGTTTGCTTTAGAGAAGTGACATATATATATATATATATATATGTATGTATATGTATGTATATATATATATATATATATATATTTATATGTACAGTATACAGTATCTTCTGCTTGATACACTGTAAAAAATAAATATGTAAAATGTACAGTAAAAATAGCAGCTGTGATTGCAAGACTTGTTGTACTTCACTTCCAAAAACTGTACATTTTATCAGTGTTTTACTGTAAAATTATATGAAAGGTCCAGTTAGATTTATTACAGTTTTTCACTGTATATAGTAGAAGAACTTAGCCTTAAGCAATTAACAGGATTTTACTCTAACATTTTTTACAGTCTTGTACCATTAAAATTACAATAATTTCACAGCATACATTTCTTAATACTAAATATAAAAGTAGCTAATGGAGAATATTTTGAAACTGAATTTAGGATATTTGTGTTATATGAATGCCAGCAGTGATGTGGAGTTACAGTAAAGATGAGCTGATTGTGATTTTGGCTGCATTATCACGTCTGCTCCAGTGAAGATTGTAGCTGCAGATGTGAAGAAGTGAGTGTTGTGTGTGTTTGTGTGTTTCAGCTGGTCCCGCAGTGAAGCCCTCCGTGTCTCTGCTGCCTCCCTCTTCTCTGCAGATCTCTGGAGACTCAGCCGCACTGCTCTGCCTGCTCAGCTCTTACTCTCCACAGGGGGCGCAGGTGAGCTGGACGCTGGACGGGTCAGAGGTCACCGAGGGGGTTCAGACCAGCGCAGAGAGCGAGCGGGACGGACGCTACAGCCGCAGCAGCGTCCTGAGTGCAGAAACAGTTTTCCTATTTATTATCTTTGCTAATAAATAAAATGTTTTTTATTTTCAGAAACAAACACGCATGATTTACTGCTTGTTAATTAAT